AGAGAGTTTTGGCGTGACTGAACGAGTGTAGGGGGTAGCTGGCGTGTCCTTTTGTCGGTTTGATGCGGATATGTGTGTTGTGGCCGTCCATGTGTAAGAAAATCGCACACCAAAAGTCTGCTGACAATCTGTCTGTCGCTTGGTCCGACCCTGACCATCTTCTGCTCCGGCTGACCAGGCTTGACTCCACTCATTTTTCTCTTGGTTCGTCGGTCAATCCAAGCCCGACTGACTGAGTTGGTCCGGAGCTGACCAAGTCTTGGTCCGGCGGACCAACTCAGTTTTCCCATTTTCTTTTTTTTTCTTGGTCCTTTCCTCCTCACTTGGTCCGATTGAGTGTCCTGGTCCGGCGGACCAACCGTTGGTCAGTCCCAGACCGACTCCCTTTCCTCCTCTCAGTCCGCCTTTACCTTCTTCAGGTCCGCTAGTGGAGTCCATGACCTGAGGTGGGTCTGGTCTTGCTGACTGACAGTTGGTCAGCTCCGGACTAACCACTCTCTTTTCTCTTTGGTCCGGCCCTTGGTCAGACGGAGTATTCCTCTTCCGAAGATATCTGGTCCGGCGGACTGACACTTAGTCAGCCCCAGGCCAGATTTCTTCCCCTCTTGGTCGGTCTCTTGGGTCCGACAGTGTGATTTTTCCTCCGAGCGCGTCTGGTCCGGCGGACTGGCATTTGGTCAGCCCCGGACCAATCCTCATTCTCGAATTATTAGACACATTTATTTAATTATTTATTTTAAAAAAATAATTAAATATTTTCTTCGGGATCCGGGATATTACACCAACCATATCCATTTAGATATTCCGTAGCATCGGTGAACCCCCGAACCTACAGTGCTTTTAATTATAGTTTTTCCAACCAACCAATCAATATGTTCTCGATCTTCGCTATGATCACCATCGACACCATCACCTCTCGGTCCCTGAGTTCGACCCTAGTACTACATCGAATCCTACCCTCGCGGAATCGACTTAGTCTAGGTTTTATTACTTATTTCAAATCCATTCACCTATATTTGCACGAAGGTAAAGTATTTTTTTCTCCTCTTTAATAGTGCGGGAGAAGTTAAGAAGGTTTCCTTTTACTTGTAGCTTGGAACTGCCCTTTTGTTTTTCAAAATGTGGATTCTAGCTTATGGGTTTGTTCTTGGAGCTACTGTTTGTGCAATTGAAATGTGCAAGTACTGTTAGATGGCTGCCAAAATTTAGAACAATCTCATTGTCTTTGTTGTGCTTTGATTACTGTTATTATGAAACTGCATGAATTCAGCATTACTCTTACTTGGATCTGGGTAAGTTGTTCATATCTTAGTTTTAATTAGTTTATGAGCAGATAACTCTTAGCAGAATGGCTTCCATGGCAACTGGGTCTGATATTGAATCAACTTGCTGTTTGAGAATGTCTTTAGAGGTTCAAATTTCTTTTTTGGTTGGTCCGTATGCCTCAGGTGCAATCAGTTCTCCTGCTCTTGGGAGGGCGTGGTACACCTGCAGCTATTCCAACAGTCGAACTTCCTTTTGAGAATAACAGGGTAATTCAGTGAAGTCTGCAATCATTTTCTGGTCATGCTTACATGTTCATGTCTGCTATATATCGTTTTCCAAGACGCTCAGATTTGTCGAGATGATTAGCTTCTCTAATTAGGTTCCGTGAGAGAGCGAAGGAAAGATGTTTTGACACGAAAAGAAGTTGCACAGAAGTATATATATATAGCAAAGAAGTTGCACAGTTCCTCAGATACAAAATTGGGGATGGTAAAACTGCTCTATTCTGGTTAGATAACTGGACAGGACTTGGTGCTCTGATACAATACATCGGGGAGCTTGGGCACGAATGTTTAGACTGCCGAGGAATGCACTGGTTTGTCACGCAGCCACCGAAAATGGTTGGTCTCTCCCTGCAGCCAGAATCGAAAGAGCTGCACACTTGCACACGGTACTAGCCTCTACCCCTATTCCTTGTGCTAATGCAGAGCCAGATATCATGCTATGGAAGAAAAGAGAAAATGAATTTACCAATTCATTCTCTTCGAAATCCACATGGTTATTAATCAGGCAGCCAGCAACTATTGTTCCCTGGTACGATGATGTTTGGTTCAAGCATTTTGTTCCGCGATTATCTTTTATACAGTGGCAGGTATACCTTCAACGGCTGCCAACACGTGATAGAATTGGAAGATGGAGAGAACATACTGATACGATATGTTGTCTATGCAATCTCGTTGATGAAAGCCATGAACATATCTTCTTCGGCTGCCAATTTACTACAGCAGTGTGGCAGCCCTATGCACGGAAATTTTGGTCATTGCCTCCTTCAAGTATCTACCAACTCTCTGGTTGGATAACTCAAGCCAGCAGTGTGGCAGCCCTATGCACGGAAATTTTGGTCATTGCCTCCTTCAAGTATCTACCAACTCTCTGGTTGGATAACTCAAGCGGGACATGACCGGACTAGGAACCGAACACTGATGGTGAAGTTTCTTGCACAACTCACAACATACGAGGTATGGAGAGAGAGGAACAATCGTATATTTCGGGGTCGATCTAAAACAGTCGAGCACATCCGCTGGAAGCTGGATAGATGCATGAGAAATATCCTTTACTCTGTTTTGAAGAAGAGTCCAACCACCCAGTGGTCTCTACTAGAAGATTGGTTCTATATCACATCAACAAATTGAGATTTGAGCTTATGTAATTTTGACTTATAAAAACCACTTGCGCATGGTATTCTCTAGGCGATTGAATACGGTCAAATGATCGATGTGTAAACGAAAACCTTTTTTTGGAATACAATTCACATTATACCAAAAAAAAAATCTCTTCCTAATTCGTTTTAGGGTTGGATTTTCGGTGGCTGCTTACGGTTTCCTTCCTCTCCGATGCTAACCTGCAAACTTCCTTTCAATTGGACCTGGAGACTTGGATAGATTTTGATGCTGTAGGATAATTTTGTTAAGAACGGACAATTTGCTTCCCTTGATTATCATGGCTTTTCTCAGGAAACACCGATATATATCAAAAGCATCAGTTATGGGAGAAGACTATTGATGGTTCGGATTTTATCTGGATTTTATACGAGTATGTCTTTGGTTTCTAAACGATTTCCACGCATTCTTAGGCATTTCTAGAGCCATTCTAGGGTTTCGGGACTATTTCTTGACTTTGGCAGGACCCCGAGGGCATAACGCACAAACTCGGTGAGAATCGGAGAAAACAGTCCATCTGGTCCGCCCCTGACCAACACTGGTCCGGCGGACCAGGAGATCGCCACAACTTCGCCCAGCGCTGACCGAAGACGAGCTGACCAAAGGAAAATGAAGGCCTGGTCCGGAGCTGACCAGTTCAGGTCAGCCGGACCAGGAATGTTCCGTGCCCAGCCAGTCCGACACGAAGACGAACTGACCAACCCCAAATGCACGTACGGTCCGGAGCTGACCGCCTCAGGTCCGGCGGACCAAACATTCTCCGCAGAAGCCTAGTCAGCCGCTCGCCTGCCCCAGTCAGCCGGTGTGAGTCCCCTGAAGACTTGGTCCGGAGCTGACCAATCTTGGTCAGCCCCGGACCAACAACACGCGCGCCTGCCCAGTCAGCCGGTCCC